TTGACTGTTTGACTGTAGATACACTCACATTACCCGAACTGAAATCTCATTTATGTGCTATGGCGATAAATTACAAAATCATGGTAGACATTTTTTTTACGTATCCTCCATTCTTATAAGCTGTTTTGTTGTAGACGATTATTCTATTGAAGACGTTCTTAAAGTTGATGAAAATGAGATTGTTGGCAAACCATTATTGGTTTTTGACTAAGCCGACGGGACCTTCTGACAAGTTGAATGATAATCTTTCCGCTAACATTAAGAAGACACTGGGCGGTGAAGAGTTACGTATTAGCATAATACTACCTAACCAATACCCTACCATCTAGTATTTAGTTCACTTAAACCCAGGTTACTAGACTAGAGGGCCCATATTGATCGCTTTCGTTCCTGGTGATAAAATTATAAAAATTGTTAGTACATTCAATTCCGATGCATCAAGATTAGCAATCCGCCATCCGATATAGAATCGAATTGTATGAATCAAAAAAAAAAGTTAACCTGGCGTAATTTTCGTCATCGCATGCATGAACGAATGTAATGATACAATAAAACCTTTACACTCTCTATTTTCTATTGACTGTAATAAATGAATGGTGTCTTAAATTTTACAGCAATACTTATTTTTTACATGGGTTTTTGAGGTTGGCAATGGGTTTTGCTTATTTCTAATAGTCATTCGGGATTTATACACGTCATGGTCGAGATGTTTTGGTGGTACAAATGACCACACCCGTTAAGGTTGCTAAAGATATTATTCACGTAATTAATGCAGATCGGTAAAACCTCTTGGCTTTAACTTTGGCTGTTAGTATTTTTTATATTTTATTGAAAGGGTAAATTTATTCACGTGTTTTTTAATTTTGAACAGAAAATTAATAAAAAATCATTTGGCTTAAATAAAAGTTTTAAAACTACTCTGTCATTTTTATTTGGTGGCGCAGCGTTATCGCGGATTTTAATAGAAACTTTATTTACATTATAATAATTTTTAAAAAAATCATGAAAATACTATTACATTAACAATACAATAATTACGACTACCGTAATTATACGAGGACAATTGTACAACTCATATGACAAGACCAAATATCAGAAAGCAACTTACGACGGTAGTGGCTTGTTGAAATCGAGAAGCCAGAACGAATTATTAATCCATAAGAGTAGTGCGGCAGAGAATTGATAGAATCTATCACACCTGTATGATAGATTTTGAAAATTTCTTTGAAAATTTCAAAATCAGATCACACACATAGCGAAGGCAAAGATAAAACGCCAAACTATTTGAAGGCCAAATCCAAATCAAAAGAAAAAAATTTTCTTCTGATTAGACGCAATATAAAGGTTTGAAACTTTAAATGCGATTCTTATAAATCAAGATTATTGAAATATTAGAAGATCGTGCAAGAGGCATGACAGGCCTTGTGACTAATTTTATTGGTCTTGAGTAACCTATACGATTGGTCCGTAAGGGAAGCATATCTAATTCCACATCAAAGAAGAAGCAGTTCCCCTCACCAAGGTTACCGTTAAGCCTCCATACCTTCAGCTTGGTAGCGAAACGTGGCGCACTGCTAGATCTCTGCTAGTTATCAGCTAGTAATTAAACCCACTCCCAGTTATGCCCTAGCCCACACTCTTTCCCGCCCGTTTGCTATTTGATAAAAAAAAACGTGCATATATATTATTAATAAAAATAAAAAATATATACCACTTCCTTACTGTTTCTAAATAACATAAAAAAAAATATTAAACGTTAATAAAGTTGTTTGTTATGGGAAGAAAAGAAGCTCGAAAACTTTTGATACGTAATACATATAAGTAGTGACGTTTATAAAGGTTATTTCTATATGCGTATCTTTTTAGTTCAAGTCAAAAGGATCGACATGTCCGTTTTTCCAGCAAGTGATTTTTGTCAATTAGAACTTTTTTTTGTTGCATTAATAATTATATTTTAAAGTTCCTTAGCTCCAGACACATAACAGTTCCTGTTAGCTTAGTTTAGATAGATATTCATCAATAATCTCAAGATCATACTCTTTAGGCATAAGTTTATACTAAAGTTTATTAAAAAAAACCAGTTAAATTCAAAAGTCTATTATATCAATTTTTTTCTGGCAAATATAAGAAATCTCTTAAAATTAAGCAAAGATAAGTTTTTTAAAGCTATAACATTAAGATTAATACTTTTACAAACTCTAACAAACTCCATATCATTATCTGTGACATCTTACATCTTATCAAATATATAGGCTAGCAGCTAAAATAATTAATCACAATAATATATTTAGTATATCAACATAAGGAATAAAAACATTTTTTCCTTTTATAAGTAAAGCTTCATTTCACAACCTTTCAAATCAATATCATCTGTATCCTTTCATATCAAACTCTTTACCATTATCCAGATTCATTTCATTCGCAAAAGCTTCATTTATGTCAGTTAACGTTTGCATTGACATTTAATTTTCTACATATATTTGCAAACATAAAAAAAATGGATTGAAAAAAATTTTTTCATCACTTAATAAAAGATTTGATTGTTTTGATATTTATAAAGCTGACTACCTGTCTAGCATATAAAAAGTTAGCAACTAACATTACTTTTGTTTCTCAACACTGAAAGAATACTAATATGCTTTATATAGTAAATCCTACAAATTTTTGTCAAATTATAGTTATGCAGCTGAAATATCCAATATAGTTATGTTAATAACTGGTAATTTAGTATTTCAATCTATAGTAATATATGAATAAAACTTTTAATTAGAATCAGATAAATTGTTGATCAGTTGTATATATTGATTTAACAAAAGAATTAGAAGTAAATAATTAGATAAATTAAATAAAATAATTAATCAAATCTAAATAAAATTAATATTGTATTAATTACTTAATATTAGCTCAATTTCTAAACTTAAAGAAAATTTAGGAATTTGTATCATCAATTAAAATTAATAATAATGAAATCACTACCTCATATTTGATAAAATTTTTATAATATTTGAGAATTAAATTTATTAAATAGAACATTTTTAAAAATGTAATTGATAAGAATAAATTAAAATTACAAGTCAAAGTTGCTTAAAGTAAGCAAGTTCATATAGAAATTTTATTCTTTGTAGATCAAATAAAAATTCATAAAAACACCATATAAAAGCTAATACAATCTTAATCAAATCCTTTATAGAATATAACTTTTTTTAATCAGATTTACAGTATAAGATATCTTGAAAACTATTTTTCTTATAGAATTTTAAGAATAGAAATATTCTTACAAAATGTTATTTCAGTGTAAATAGTAATAAAGTTGGAAAAAATGCAAAAAAAAATAAAAACAATTGGTCTTCTAAACTGTTATTACAATTCAAATACAAAAAATTCTAATTAATTTATTTCTGATCAATAATTTAATATTACAAGTATTAATATTAAGATGGATTACCAACAAAAAGTTGAAATAAACTCATAAATATAGAAATTGCATTTCTTATAAATTATATATCTAATGAGTCTACTAACAAAAGTTAGGCAGTATTGATATAAAATATTTAGAATTAAAATATTTTTATTAAATTGTTAAAAATAAACAAAATATTCATAAGAAATATTACTATTAATATAAATTTTTAATCAATATCTTTAAATTTTCTATAGTATTTTATTACATGTATTATTAATTATCTTATCTTTAAGTATATCAATTTCTAAAAATCTAAATTTGAGATAGCATTAAAAAGTGAAAACCATTTTATAGTTAATAAAAAATTTGAAATATAGTTTTTATATTAGAAATATTATAATTATTTTTATCCTTTATATATAAAAATGTAATTTTAAAATTCAAATTATAAAAATAATATATTAATATAATATATAATTTAAAAATTAATCAATATTGTTTCTCTTCTTTTTCTTTCTTAACCTTATATTTTAAATTATTAAGAATAATTATAATTCAGATCAAGATATAAAAGGAATATATTTGTTAGAAAAAAACATTTAGACATGAATAAAGCTTTAAATTTATTACTAAAAACTACTATCAAAAAAGATTTTTCTATCATAAAGCTATAGTGAAACCATTAAAATTGCTATAAATATAATATAAAGAACTTTGAAAATATTTTTATTCTTATAATAAATCATGTAAAATTAATTAATATTTCTAGAAAATGTAATACAAGCTCAGTGGCTTATAACATATTAACTTTAATTAGCTAAAAACTTTACTTATTATTACTCTTATTTTATATAAAATAAAGCATAATTATATTTTTTAATTGAAGTAATAATTCTAATATTTTGTAAATTAATGTTAGAAATGCATAATATATAAAATTTTATATTAATAATAGTTTAACAATAAATATTACTTTTTTTGTAAATTATTATAAGTTAAATATTCTAAAAGGTATATCTTTAATAAACAGTTATATAATTTTATTTAGCAGTATAAAACTTTATAATTATTAGTAATCAAAAAGATTTTAATGTAAAAATTCTAAATAATATTAAATTAAATTAATAAAGATAATAATAGATTAATAACAATCTTTTAGATATTATTTAAGAAAAAAATAATTATATTATCTTTATCATGATTATCTAATTAGTGATTCAACATATAAAAAAATTCAATATAATATAATATTAACTATATTTATATATATTGATTCTAATAATAAATATATTTCATTACTTTATTGATGTTGAAATATAAAATAGTTTTTATAGATATTACAAAATTTTTATTAAGTAACAAATTTTATTAAACCTAAAGTTATTTTTACAAAAAATAATTAAAAAAAATAAAAAATAAAAAAAAAGCTTGTTTCAAATTATGATCAATTCAAAAATAATTCTATAAAATATAAAATAATTTATGTATAATTTAAATTTAAATCATTATAAAATTAAGTAAAAAATAATTAGATAAAAATAACTAATTATTTAAATTAAATTTTAGAATTAATTAAAACTTCTTAAGCTATATTATATTTAGAAAAATATTTATAATAAATATTCAAAGCATTTTTTAAGTTAAATCATTCAATAATATAATTAAATCTATTATATTATATAATATAAGATTATGTTAACTTTTTAATTCTTTAATAAATAAAGTTAAAATTAAAAGTACAAAAATTTATTATAATTATCAAAAACAATTTAAATTTGTAATTGAATTTTTAAGTATATATATGATAATTTTTAAATCTATTGATAATTTATTTAAAATTTATTTATTATTTTAAATATAAAATAAAGTATAATGTTAAATGGAATAACTTTTGAACTAATGATCAATGTTTCGATGGAAATAGTATCATTAGAACCGTCTTGATGAGAG